GTAAGCCAAAAGGCAGGCAGGCAGGCAAGCAGGCGACGCGCAGTGTGCTAGCAGGGCAAGAGCTCACCAGTGGTGGGAAGAGTAGGCTCGGCGACTCAGCGGCTCGGCAGCTCGGCGGCTCTGCGGCTCGGGCGACACGGGCGGCTCGGCGGCAAGGCGGCTCGGCAGCAACTGCAGCTCAGCAGCTCGGCGACTCGGCGGCTCGGCGGCAGGGCGGCTCGGCAGCAACTGCAGCTCAGCATCTCAGCGACCCGGCAGCTCGACGACCCGGCAGCGGCCCCCTCAGGTCGCCTCGACAGGCGACGGGAAAAAGGGGGGGGGTGGTGGGGGCCGGTAGGTGCAGCGGCGGGGCCAGCAGGTGCAGTTGCGGGGCCGGTAGAAGGGGACGGCAGGAGCCGTCAGGAGGGGACGGCGGGGCCGTCAGGAGTGGACGGCGGGGCCGGCAGGAAGGGACGGCGGGGCCGTCACGAAGGGACGGCGGGGCCGTCAGGAGGCGACCGGGCCGCAACGGGGCGGCTGGGCCGCCTGAGAGCCGAGGCAGGGGCCGCGTCAGGGCCGGCGGCGGGGCCGTAAGAGAGCCGGGGCGGGGCCGCAAGAGAGCCGGCGGCGGGGCCGCGTGAGAGCCGGGGCGGGGCCGCGTCAGGGCCGGCGGCGAGGCCGCGAGAGAGCCGGGGCGGGGCCGCGATCAGGAGGCGGCGGCGGGGCCGCGTCAGAGCCGGCGGCGGGGCCTCGTCGAGGCGGGCGGCGGGGCCGCGTTGGAGCCGGCGGCGAGGCCGGCTAAGAGCCAGCGGCTGGGCCGCGTCAGGGCCAGCGGCGGGCCGCGATCAGCGGGCGGCGGGGCCGCGTCAGAGCCGGCGGCGGGGCCGCGTCAGAGCCGGCGGCAGGGCCGCGATCAGCGGGCGGCGGGGCCGCGTCAGAGGAGGCGGCGGAGCCGCTGCAGAGGAGGCGGCGGGGCCGCGTCAAGCAGGGGTGGCGGGGCCGCGTCAGAGGGACAGCGGGGCCGCGAGAGTAATGGCGACCCGAAGGGTCGCGAAAAAAAAAAAAAAATTGCGCGCCTCGGGGCGCGCTTCGGTGGGCCCTAAAAAAAACGGTCCTTAGGAAGGACCCGCTCTATACCATGTGAAAGATAAGAGAACAGGAATGAAATGACTAAGTCAGAGTTGGGTACAAATACAACCCTAGAAAGCTGTACCCCATATGTGCTACCCCACTATAGCCTACAAACATGCATCAGTTATAATGCTCTGACAGCGTACTCACTACTGAGGGAGCTGCTACTGCAGGAGGCACACGACGGAATTACCTCAGGGCATTTTGGGGTAGAAAAAACGTGACAGCAACTGCAGCGGTATTACTACTGGCCGGAGCTGTTAACCGACGTGCAGCAGCACGTGGGCTCGTGCCCCACGTGTCAGGTGATGAAGAGCTCGAGGAAGCGGAAGGCGGGTCAACTGCAGCCGATACCACTGCCCGAGCGCGCCTGGCAGCAGGTTATTATGGACTTCGTCACGAGGTTACCTTCGAACCCTGGGGGTAACGATGCGGTGATGGTCGTCGTTGACAGGTTAACGAAGATAGCACACTTCGCTGCGTGCAAAAAGTCAATCTCAGCTGAGGACCGCTCGCCTGTTCATCGCAACCGTTGTTCGCCTGCACGGGATACCAGCAGGGATTATCAGCGACAGAGACACGAAGTTCATTAGCAACTTCTGGAAGAATCTCTGGGAGCAGTTCGGAACACGGCTACAGTTCAGCTCGTTGTACCACCCCGAGACCGACGGTCAAACGGAGTGGACGAATCAGACGATGGAGCAGTTGATTCGTGCCACGTGCGACGACCCGACCACTGGGGAGCAGCAGCTGCCGCTGATCGAATTCGCGTACAACAACGCCACGTCAGTGACTGTCAGAATCCCAACCACTAGACCATTGGGATAAAAGGGCTTGTTTTAGTAGCGGGTCAGTGCGCCCATAACCCCCCAGGCAAACGCGCCTGTAACCCCCCCTAGGATCGATCGGGGATCTCACAGTGTAGCTCTACTGACACCCCCCCACACTGGGAGGCCCAGGACTGAGCACAGTGGCAACGGCCAACATGTGCATACACCGGGATTCGAACCCGAGACCGCTCTGATACCATGTCAGAATCCCAGTCACTAGACCACAGGGATAAAAGGGCTTGTTTTAGTAGCGGGTCAGTGCACCCATAATCCCCCAGGCGAACGCGCCTGTAACCCTCTCCAGGATCAATCGGGCATCCACAGTGCAGATCTACTCACACCCTCCCACACTGGGAGGCCCAGAACTAAGCACAGCGGCAACGGCCTACATGTGCATACACCGGGAATCGAACCCGAGACCGCTCTGATACCATGTCAGAATCCCAACCACTAGACCATTGGGATAAAAGGGCTTGTTTCAGTAGCGGGTCAGTGCGCCCATAACCCCCCAGGCAAACGCGCCTGTAACCCCCCCTAGGATCGATCGGGGATCTCACAGTGTAGCTCTACTGACAGTGACGACGCAGCAGTCCCCCTTCTACCTGAACTACGGGCAAAACCCTACAGTGCCCATGACGCCGAGTCTGGACAACCCAACACCACGTGCACATCAATTCGCCGAAATACTGCAAGCTGCCCTCACCAGAGCCGCAGAAGCAATTAAAAAGGCAAATGTCATCGCTAAGCGCAACGCTGACCGCCACCGTCGCCCAGTCACATACGAGTCGGGGGATTACCTACTGCTCGACACGCAGAATCTGCGACTGCCCGACGTACCGAAACTTCGACCGCGCTACTGTGGCCCATTCCAAATCAGCCACATGATCACGCCAGTAACCTCGCACTTACTATTACCGACCGACTGGTACGTCAGCCTACTTCGCCCGTACATCCCCACCACCAGCCAACTGCCTCGTCACCGCCCGCATTCTATGACTCGCCCTGCATCGGAGCCGATCATCGAGCCCGAAAAAATCCTGAGCCATCAGATTCGCCACACCATGGGAATCAGGAGGATTGAATTCCTCGTTCGCTGGAAGGACCGCACGCCAACTGAAGATTGCTGGGTGCCCCTGGCCAACATCGAAAACCACCCTGCCCTGCAAGTGTACCTGAGGAGCCGGGGATTCTGCGATATACACGCACTCACGTAGCGGAGGGGGCTTCTTGAGAGGGGGGGGGGGGGGGGGGTAGTGGAAGAAATTTTCTCGGCATTCCTAACAGAGTCCGACTACATTGCGTACAGCAACAGCCGTTGTTCGCCCGTTACTGCTAACGGGGCTTCGCCAACTTCGCGCGCACTGTTTTGCCAAACCTCGCACTGCTGGCCCGGCCGTTTCGGCCTGCGCTTCGGGGCTAGCCCGAGCCTCGCTGCCAGCATAGCACTAGCTAGCTCGCACGCACCGCGTTACCGTTTGCATGTTTCGGGTATAAATGTTCGCTCATGCCTTCGCTCACATTTTGTACTCATTTGACACCTTAGTGCAATCCTCGCTACCTAGATCCATTGCACCCGTAACACTTAACGTCTTTACACGTTACTGATATGCTGGGTTTACCATACCGGAGTCTTAGTGGGTCAGGTATGGAATATCAGCGACGCGTCAAGGTTCAATCAATGAGTGATGGCTCGGCTGAGCCTAATTCAGAATCTTGATTCCCATTAGCTCCGAAATGGCGGGCAGGCCTCGCACATAACTCCGAACCATCGCCGCTGCCTGCTGGCTTGGGGACGCCCGCCGCTGTCTTGTTTGGTTCGGTCTGATTTGCACGAATCTCGTTCGTCTTGTCCGCACCGAACCGAAAGTGTGAGACGGATGACTGCTCCCCGTACTAATTGTATCTCTGTACACACCGAACGCTGGCTCAAAAGTACATATCCCTCGAAGTGCAATATTCCTGATTCCCTGCCTGGAGCACATATGCACATCCCTCCATTGCTGATTTCTACCAAGCATATTCTAGGAACTGCCATGACTCTGGCTGCTCCCTACGTCGGGTAATACCCTGCCACGAGCACCGAATTGAACAAATTCCAATATGTTGACAGCGACACGTTTCGATACGGCAGGGCCAATTCATGACGGTCCCTGGATTCTCAAATGCGAGAGAACAGGACGGTCATTAGCGCGTTGGTAAATAGTACGACTTATTTCCCCTGTGCCGTAACAAAGCCGTCCGCGCTGTTGTTTCCCCCTCTGTCGAGGTGCCTAAACACTGAGAGTCCTTTTTTGTCCTTCAATTCCTTCTTTATAAACCTGTAACATAAAAAATCCCACTGTATGATGCGACACTGCACATTTAGAGGTATTTCCTGGCTGTAAACTGTCGAAACGAACCAGCGTTAATAGTACCCAGCCTGTTTCGGGCAGTCAACTGCAGATGAACCGCGGCGCGACAAGCCTTTTGCTGGTCTCATGCTTAAGCATACTCGCTCACTTGACTGTCGTCGCTCGCGAGCCTTCGCAACAGCATCTCGCCGCCGCTCGCGAGCCTTCGCAACAGCATCTCGCCGCCGCTCGCGAGCCTTCACAACGGCATCTCGCCGTTCCTCTAGAATCCGGCGATCTGCCGAAATGGCCGCCGGGAACACCAGGATTAACTACCTCCGCTGGTTGCGGCGCGGTGGGCAGCATAGACACCCTTGGGAGCATCTTAGTCCAAGATGATCGGGAGAGGATTAGCTCCCAGCCGTCCGATCAGCAGCCTCACCTGCCTGCGCAGCGGCAACGACCGTGCGATTGCGTGATCAACTCCGCAGGCAGCCCTTTCAGGCGAAGGCTTAGCCAGGCTGCGAGACCGTGCGATTGTGGTTACCATTCTGTTCGCGTCCCCCCACGGCGAAATCGAGAGTCGAGGAGCTCATTAGACATAGCTGCGGAAACAGAAACGGAAACGGAAACGGAAAAAGAAACGGAACCGGAAACCGAGTGGTACTTGGAGAAGCGGTATTCAAAGTGGCGATACTTCAATTGGCGGTACTTAGAGGGGCAGTATTATATGAGGCGGTACTTAGTGGAAATGACGCCAGTGGAACCGTTAGCAGAGAACCGCACGCGGAGAGTGGACCCGTTGCAGCATTTCCAGTACTACGAGGGCGGGTGGGACCCCAGCAGCAAGGACTACTGGGCGGTACGTCATGTACACGTGTTTGACACGTCATGTATGCGGGTTTTCAGGCGTGTCACAACCATGGCACGCGGAGAATGGACCCTCTCCCGCTGCAGCGCTTGCAGTTCTACGAGGGCGGGTGGGACCCCAGCAGCAAGGACTATTGGGCAGTGAGCGGTACGTAGGCTAGTCGGTTTTGTTAGCAGCATCAGGAGGGCCTTAACAGCAAGCTCTAAGAGGGTGGTATGTCATATAAGCGGGTTTTGAGACGTTTTGGAGTGGTATGTCTCACGACCTTTGTAGGAAGTTTTGCGAGGGGGTGTGGTGTGGTGTGGTGTGGTGTGGTGTGGGGCTCTCAGTGACAAGTCCTACTGGGCGTAGGCATATGAATGCATATGCAGGTTCCCGTGTCCCCCTCGTTTGACTGTGCATGTGCGCTCCACTCACGCAATGTGCTTTCTTGGAGGGTGTTGGGACGTTTCAAAGGTAGCGCTCTCTCTAATCCGTCCTCTTCCCTGCCCTAGCCTCTCCTCCCTTCCTTTCTTCCTCCCTTCCTTTCTTCCTCCATCATCCGTCACCCCCTCTCTTCTCCCTGTCCCTCTCTTCCTTTCCTCCTTCCCTTCCATTCTTCCCCCATCCCTCCACTTCCACCCCCACACCCATTCTCCCCCAATCCCTCCTCCCCCCCGCCCATTCGCCCCCCATTTCTCTCCCCACTTCCCCAATTATCCCCCAGTCCGTGGCATGGGCAGGGATCTACGGCCTCGTCGTGGGGGCGGCATGGGTCGTACTCGGTATAAGCATCCTCGCTTTCGCGCTCTGCGCGTGCCTCTTCTGCCGCAAGCGGTGGAAGGCCCGTCTGGACGGCGACCAGCCTCAATACACGCCCTTCCAGATCCGCGTGCCACTTGCCGCACTGCTATTGGCTGCAGTCGTCATCCTGTGAGTGTGCCACTTGCCGCGCTGCTATTGGCTGCAGTCGTCATCCTGTGAGTGTGCCACTTGCCGCGCTGCTATTGGCTGCATTCGTTATCCTGTGAGTGTGCCACTTGCCGCGCTGCTATTGGCTGCATTCGTCATCCTGTGAGTGTGCCACTTGCCGCGCTGCTATTGGCTGCAGTCGTCATCCTGTGAGTGTGCCACTTGCCGTGCTGCTATTGGCTGCAGTCGTCATCCTGTGAGTGTGCCACTTGCCGCGCTGCTATTGGCTGCATTCGTCATCCTGTGAGTGTGCCACTTGCCGCGCTGCTATTGGCTGCAGTCGTCATCCTGTGACTGTGCCACTTGCCGCGCTGCTATTGGCTGCAGTCGTCATCCTGTGATTGTGCCACTTGCCGCGCTGCTATTGGCTGAAGTCGTCATCCTGTGAGTGTGCCATTTGCCGCGCTGCTATTGGCTGCATTCGTCATCCTGTGAGTGTGCCACTTGCCGCGCTGCTATTGGCTGCAATCATCATCCTCTGAGTGTGCCATGCCACGTGCCGTGCTCTCATTCGCTGCAACCGCTATTGATTCCATGCTTCTACTGCATCTGAACCTTTGCTTCAAGTGGTGGTCCCCCTGTGCTGCTATCATGCACTTGCACGGCTGCCTGCGTCCCAGTTTTGAGGCGCCTCAAAACTATTGATTCCATGCTTCTACTGCATCTGAACCTTTGCTTCAAGTGGTGGTCCCCCTGTGCTGCTATCATGCTCTTGCACAGCTGCCCGCGTCCCCTGCTCGCTCCCTGTGTCATCCAGGGTGGGGACGGTGCTGTTGGTGGCGGGGGGGACGCTATTTCACGGCTCAGCACCTATCACAGCACCACGCAGTTCACCTATCACAGCACCTATCACAGCACCACGCAGTTCACCTATCACAGCACCACGCAGTTCACCTATCACAGCACCACGCAGTTCACCCTCGCCACCACACAAGCCCATGCAATTCTTGAGGCAACTCAAGTTTTTTCACGTTCTCCTTTCCCCAATCCCTGTCCGCTTCCCCTTTTGAGACGTCTCAAAAGTCGCCACCACACAAGCCCATGCAATTCTTGAGGCAGCTCAAGTTTTTCACTTTCTCCTTTCCCCAATCCCTGTCCACTTCCCCTTCTTCCTCCCCTTCCCGCGTTCCCTGCTCGCTCCCTGAGTCATCCAGGGTGCGCTTCGCACTGCTAGTGGCGGGAGGCGTGTTATTCCACAGCACCTACCTCAGTGCCACGCAGTTCACTCTCGCCACCACACAAGCCCTCTCGATCCTTGAGTCAGCTTCCCCCCCATTCCCTTCCCGATTCCCCTCTCCGCTTTCCTCATCCAGGGTGGGCTTCGCACTGCTAGTGGCGGGAGGCGTGTTATTCCACAGCACCTATCTCAGCGCCACGCAATTCACCCTCGCCACCACACAAGCCCTCGTGGGGGCCACTCACAACCTCTCAGCCGCACTGCAATGCTCTGCCAATACCACGCTCTTTGATGCTGTGATTCCCAGTAAGGCCATACTATTCTCACTTGTCTGTTCCAAGGTGCGTTTTGAGTCGAATCAAAAGTCATCTCGTTACAATGGCACACGACACATTCTCTGCCAATACCACCCTCTTTGATGCTGTGATTCCCAGTACATATTCTCACTTGTCTGTTCCACATATAGTCACTCCTTGTATAGTTACATGTCTGTTCCACTCACAACCTCTCTCTCGCCCTGCAACGCTCTGCCAACACCACCCTCTTTGATGCCGTGATTCCCCGTATGTTGCCACGCTCCCTTGCCCCCACTCTCCCTAACCCCACTCTCCCTTGCCCCTTGCCCCCACTCTCCCTTGCCCCTTGCCCCCACTCTCCCTTGCCCCTTGCCCCCACTCTCCCTTGCCCCTTGCCCCCACTCTCCCTTGCCCCTTGCCCCCACTCTCCCTTGCCCCTTGCCCCCACTCTCCCTTACCCCTTGCCCCCACTCTCCCTTGCCCCTTGCCCCCACTCTCCCTTAACCCCACTTTCCCTTGCCCCCACTGCACTTTCCTCCCACTCCCCATTCCTCCAATTCTCTTTCCTCCCACTCTCCTTTCCTTCAACTCTCTTTTCTCTCTCACATGTCTGTTCCACTCACAACCTCTCTCTCTCTCTCTCTCTCTCTCTCTCTCTCTCTCTCTCTCTCTCTCTCTCTCTCTCTCTCTCTCTCTCTCTCTCTCTCTCTCTCTCTCTCTCGCTGCAACGCCCTGCCAACACCTGCCAACGCCGCCACACAGCAGGCGGTGATACACAGAGCAGCAGAGGCAGAGAGCATGGCAGTTGACATCCAGGCACGGACTGTGAACAGCATAATGGGTTCCCCCCCTGTCCCTTCCTCTCCCTCTTCTGTCCCTCCCTCTCCCTCCCCTCTCCCTCTCCCCCCGCCCAGCCGCCACACAGCAGGCGGTGCTGCAGGGAGCAGCGCACGCAGAGAGCATGGCAGATGACATTCAAGCACGCATTGTGAACAGCATTGAGCGGCTGGACGGCTACGTGAAGATCGTGTGCGTTGGTTGGTCTAGGGATGGGTGCATGCGCGGTGGGATGGGATGGGATGAGGTGCAAGATCGATGACTTGTGTGCTGGGAATGGATTGATGGGAGGGGAGGGGTTGTGAACAGCATTGACTGGCCGGATGGATACGTGAAGATCGTGTGCGTTGGTTGGTGCATGCATGCATGGTGGGATGGGGTGGGTTAGATGGAAAACTCGAGGCAAGGTGATGGGATTGTGAACAGCATTGACCGGCTGGATGGCTATGTTCAGATCGCATGCGTTGGTGCATGCATAATGGGATGGGTGCATGGTGGGATGGGTGCATGGTGGGATGGGTGCATGATGGGATGGGTGCATGGTGGGATGGGTGCATGGTGGGATGGGTGCATGATGAGATGGGTGCATGATGGGATGGGTGCATGATGGGATGGGTGCATGGTGGGATGGGTGCATGGTGGGGATGGGTGCATGGTGGGATGGGTGCATGGTGGGATGGGTGCATGGTGGGATGGGTGCATGGTGGGATGGGTGCATGGTGGGATGGGTGCATGGTGGGATGGGCGCATGATGGGATGGGTGCATAATGGGATGGGTGCATGATGGGATGGGTGCATGGTGGGATGGGTGCATGGTGGGGATGGGTGCATGGTGGGATGGGTGCATGGTGGGATGGGTGCATGGTGGGATGGGTGCACGGTGGGATGGGTGCATGGTGGGATGGGTGCACGGTGGGATGGGTGCATGGTGGGAGTGGGCAGTCAGATGGATATGAATACTGGGCTGGCAAGGGCGACTTTTGGGACGTCTCAAAAGTCAAATGGATGTGAATACTGAGTTGGGAAGGGAATGATGCTGTGCTTCGCCAAAGTGTCAGGCCACCACCCACTGTGACACCCTCCCATTCCTGCACTTACCCCGGAACCTCGTTGGCAGCACAATCACCTGTTGTGAGCTGCTTCAGTCTATCACACAAACTATAATTTGTTTCGTTGTCTTAAGAACAACTAGAGTTCGTTTCATTGTCCTAAGAGCAACTAGAGAAGGCCTCCGCAACCCACATGTCGGATACTGACAACAAGTTCCTTCTGTGGGCCGCCTGAGTCAGTCTATTGAGCCGTGTGAGTCAGTCTATTGAGCTGCGTGAGTCAGTCTATTGAGCCGCGTGAGTCAGTCTATTGAGCCGCGTGAGTCAGTCTATTGAGCCGCGTGAGTCAGTCTATTGAGCCGTGTGAGTCAGTCTATTGAGCCGCGTGAGTCAGTCTATTGAGCCGCGTGAGTCAGTCTATTGAGCCGCGTGAGTCAGTCTATTGAGCCGCGTGAGTCAGTCTATTGAGCCGCGTGAGTCAGTCTATTGAGCCGCGTGAGTCAGTCTATTGAGCCGCGTGAGTCAGTCTATCACACAAACGCACATCAAATTCTGAGGCACCCCCAAAGATGAGCCCAAAACGCACGTGAGTCAGTCTATCACACAAACGCACATCATATTCTGAGGCACCCCCAAAGATGAGCCCAAAACGCACGTGAGTCAGTCTATCACACAAACGCACATCAAATTCTGAGGCACCCCCAAAGATGAGCCCAAAACGCACGTGAGTCAGTCTATCACACAAACGCACATCAAATTCTGAGGCACCCCCAAAGATGAGCCCAAAACGCACGTGAGTCAGTCTATCACACAAACGCACATCAAATTCTGAGGTACCCCCAAAGATGAGCCCAAAACGCACGTGAGTCAGTCTATCACACAAACGCACATCAAATTCTGAGGCACCCCCAAAGATGAGCCCAAAACGCACGTGAGTCAGTCTATCACACAAACGCACAACAACCTCCCCCACCCACCCTGAAACACTGTCCGTTCAGTTCCCCACCACCATGCTCCCTTACCTTCCCTCCACAGCAGCATCACCATCCTCGACATTGGCTCACTCACTGCTTGTGAACTGTGTCTCACAGACCCACAACAACCCCTGTCAATCCTTCGCCTCTGCCCCCACCCACCTCCCTCCACAGCACCATCACCATCCTCGTCATTGGCTCACTCACTGCTCTGCTCGTGCTGCTGGGATTAGGTGCGCAGTGCTGTTGGTGAGATGTGTAGGGGAATGCGTTGCTGGGATTAGGTGAGTGCTGCACAAGATGTGCTGCTCTGCTCGTGCTGCTGGGAGTAGGAGCGTAGTGCTGTCGGTGAGATGTGTAGGGGAATGCGTTGCTGCTGCTGGTGAGTGGCAAGGGGGACTGGTACTGATTCGACGCTGAGTGCTAGGGGTTAACCTTTTCAGTGCAGCTTGTTGGGGGCAAGGCAAGTGACAGGTAGGAGGACAGGGCGTGTTGCTGGTTGCGTCGAGGTGCTGGGCATGGTGAGAGGTGGACTGTGGGCGCTGATCAGGTGCAGTGTCGAGGTGGCTTTTAAATCGATCAAAAAATCATCGCAAGACAAGGTGCTGGGCGTGGTGATAGGCGGAGTGTGGGCTTTGAGTCGACTCAAAAGTCACCTCTAAAATCATCGCAAGACAAGGTGCTGGGCGTGGTGATAGGCGGGCGGAGTGTGGGCTCTGAACAGATCAGGGTGCTTCTGAGTCGACTGAATAAAATCAAGCCACTGCAGGTAATTCTAGAGCCGTCTTACAAGTCTCCTGCTTACCGAGGCTTCCTGTTGAAACCCTGCTTACCGAGACTTCCTGTTGAAACCCTGCTTACCGAGACTTCCTGTTGAAACCCTGCTTACCGAGACTTCCTGTTGAAACCCTTGCACACGTGTCATGTCATGGCAATGGTTCGAACAAAACCCTCACAATCCGAACCCTCGTAATCCAAAACATTGCAAGCTCAGCAACACGTGTCATCTCATTGCAAGTCATCGCAACCAACCACTCCTACGTCCACCCTTACCCCTCCCCGCTCTCTCCCTCCTGATGCATGCTGCTTTGACTGCCTCCAGCGGTCTGGTCTGGTCTGTTGCACACATGTATGTAGGCGACTGGGGCGTCTCTAAAGTAATTTCCCTTTGCGCCCCCCCCCTGCTCTTTCCCCCCCACCCATGCTTCAGTAGACGACTTTTGAGACGTCTCAAAACTCCCGATGCATGCTGCTGTGGCCGCCTCCAGTGGTCTGGTCTGGTCTGGTCTGTTGGACACATGTATGTAGGCGACTGGGGCGTCTCTAAAGTACTTCCCCTTTGCGGCCCCCCCTGCCCTTTGCCCCCCACCCATGCTGCAGTTGCCGGCTTCTTACAACGGGCTGTTGCATCACAATCCTAGTAGCAGAGATATAGGCGGCTGCGGCGTCTCAAAAGTCCTGCTATATTCGTGTGACTTTTGAGAAGTAGCAGAGATATAGGCAGCTGCTGCGTCTCAAAAGTCCTTTCTCCTTGAACCACCCCGCTCTTTCCACCCACTCCGCCCATGCTGCCCTGCAGTTGCCGGCTTCTTACAGTGGGCTGTTGCATCACACATGTAAGAGTCTTTTAGCAGAGTTGTTTTTACAGATTATTTCGTTGCACATGTAAGGGCGTTAAAGGTGTATGGACAGGAAAACTATGTATACATACATCTATATAGTTTGATAAATAGATAGATATGTATACATATATGTTTCATTGTTTCCTGTGCTATTGTGCTTCCCTTCTGTCCCCTTTTAAAACAGACTCGTTAGCCTTATTTGGGCTATGGGGTTCATCACATGGAGTACTGTCACCCTCTGCCTCCTCTCCACTCTGTAAGTGCTGCTCCTCCTGGTATGCTTAATTGCTGCTACTGGTCGTATGCATAAGTGCTGCTACTAATCGCATGGTTAAGTGCCACTACTCGTGGTATGCTTACGTGCTGCTACTGGTAAACTCCACCCCTCTCCACCGTGCTCCACCACTCTCAATCCCTTGCCACCCCTCACATCCAGCTTTGACGGGGACACGAGTGCGGCCATGTGGCAGGTGTCACAGCAGGACCCAGCAGGCAACTCCACCACCATGCAGCAGTGGCTGCCTCGTGAAGCGACACCTGCTCTGAGACGTCCCAAAACAGCTCTCAACCCCTCTTCGCCCCTCTCCACCCCTCTTCACCCCTCTCCACCGTGCTCCACCGCTCTCCACCCCTCCTTTGCAGCTTTGCGGGCGACACGAGTGCGGCCATGTGGCAGGTGTCACAGCAGGACCCAGTAGGCAACTCCTCCATGCAGCAGTGGCTGCCTTGCGCCCGGGCAAGCGACGTGCGCCAGGCCATCAACACCACCGTGACTGCTCTCGCTGCATCGGTCTCCCTGCTCAACACCTCTGTGGTCACGACCTACCCCCAGGTGAGCACCTCTCAGTTCACCCACTCAGGTCACCCATGGGTCTGTAGCAATGGCTGCCGTGTGTCTGGGCAAGCGACGTGCGCCAGGTCTAAAGGCCACCGCCACTGCCATTTCTGCATCGAGTGATTTGCGCAACACGTCTCTTGTGACTCACTACCCCCCGGTGAGCACAGATTGTAACAGTGCCTGCCATGCCATGTGTCTGGGCAAGCGACGTGCGCCAGGTCTAAACACCACCGCCACTGCCGTCTCTGCATCGAGCGCAACACTTTCTTGCCACGTCCTACCCGCAGATATAAGCACCCATGCATTGTCTGGTTCTGAACCCTACGTGTACTGCTTGAGAGCTGATGGTGATGCAAGAAAAAAGAGCTTTGAAGCGCCTCACAAGTTGGGACATGATCTGAGGCGCCCCAACAATCGTCTGTGAGGCCACCATGCATCTTTCCTTCTTCTCCTGCCGTTCCTCTTCTCCCCTCATGTGATTGGCAGGTGTTGACCGCAGTCAACGCCACTGGCATCTGCAACCCCTATGCGGGCGGCGGCGCTGACCTCAGCTACGACGTCACCTCCTGCCCGCCCGGCACTCTGCCGCCCGCCGCATTTTTCAAGGTGAAGTTTCCAGACTCCTTCAACCCAGAACTTTGCAGCCCGCTGCACTCTTTCGTGCGGGTGGTATCCTGAGACATGTCAAACAAACACTTAACAGCCCGCGGCAATTTTCCTGGTGATGAATTACAGGCCTCTCTAACTGACACTGGCTTTCTAACTGACACTGGCTTTCTAACTGACACTCTGCTGCCCGGATTCTTCTAGGTTATTCCGTTCTAGGACAGTGGATATCGTTCTGGGTTTGAGTCTACTGAGATATTCACGTGGATAAGGTCTGTTCAGGTGCCTCATCAACGGATGTGGAGTTAGGCAGCGTGGGTTTGGACTGTGTGTGTTACTCCGTGTACGTTTATGTATGCTGTGTGGGGTCAGCCAAGTTTGGTTCACTCGATGTGGGGCTGTTAAATCCAATCTTTTCACAGCAGGTCTCCCTCATGCCTCCCCCTTCCTTCGTGCCTTTTCCCTTCCTGCCCGCCCTCTTCCCTCGCGCACCTCATGGCCTCCTCCCTTCCCCTCCTCCCCTCCCGTCCCCTTACAGTCTCTCGCCGCGTTCACCTGTACAAACAAGCACCATGTGCCAGGTGAATGTTTCCCAACGGAAACAGTCATGAGGCTGCAAGTGCCCCAACGGAAACAGTCATGAGGCTGCAAGTGCCCCAACGGAAACAGTCATGAGGCTGCAAGTGCCCCAACGGAAACAGTCATGAGGCTGCAAGTGCCCCAACGGAAACAGTCATGAGGCTGCAAGTGCCCCAACGGAAACAGTCATGAGGCTGCAAGTGCCCCAACGGAAACAGTCATGAGGCTGCAAGTGCCCCAACGGAAACAGTCATGAGGCTGCAAGTGCCCCAACGGAAACAGTCATGAGGCTGCAAGTGCCCCAACGGAAACAGTCATGAGGCTGCAAGTGCCCCAACGGAAACAGTCATGAGGCTGCAAGTGCCCCAACGGAAACAGTCATGAGGCTGCAAGTGCCCCAACGGAAACAGTCATGAGGCTGCAAGTGCCCCAAGCAGCCCTTGCTGACCTTCAGACCGCCTCTGCTGCCCTCACACACCTCATAACCTCCCTCCTGCCTCCCTCGCCTTCCCTTACAGGCACTCACCACACTCGCCTGTACGAACGGTACATACCAGGTGCATTTCCCCAACGGAACAGTCATGCTGCTGCAAGTGCCCTCACCCATTCCCCCCACACCCCCTCCCACACCCCCTCCCCCATCCCCTCCCCCATCCCCCCCCCTCTCTTCCAGGCACTCACCACACTCACCTGTACGAACGGTACATGCGAGGTGCATTTCCCCAACGGAACAGTCACGCTGCTGCAAGTGCCCCCAGCGGCGCTCTCTGCCCTGCAGAATACCTCTGCTGCGCTCACACAGCTCATAGACTCCGTGCCTGTGCTGCGTCAGATCGCCAACTGTACCTACGTGAAGGAGATCTGTGAGGTACGTCTCTTGACTTGCATTGACTTGGGTTGACTGTTGAGTTGAAAGGCTGCGCTCACAAGGCTGAGACTCCGTGCCTGTGCTGCGTCAGATCGCCAACTGTACCTACGTGAAGGAGATCTGCGAGGTATGAGTGTTGACTTGCATTGACTTGGGTTCACATGGGTTGACTTAAGTTGACTTGTGTCGAGTTGGCTTGACTGTTGAGTCGAAAGGCTGCCCTCACACAGCTGGTGGCCTCCGGGCCAGTGCTACTTCAGATTGCCATCTGCACCTTATGAAGGAAATCTGCGAGGTGCGTGGATTGGCTTGGGTTGACTGGCTTGGGTTGACTGGGTTTGACTTGGTTGACTTGGGCTGACTTGATTGACTTGGGTTGACTTGGGCATCCTCCCCTATCCTTCCCCCATCCTCCCCCATTCTCGTATCTCCCCTCCCCCATTCTCGTATCTCCCCTCCCCCATTCTCGTATCTCCCCTCCCCCATTCTTGTATCTCCCCTCCCCCATTCTCGTATCTCCCCTCCCCCTCCCAGTATGCATCAGGGCTAGCAAGCAACATGGAGAGGGATTTCAACATGCTGTGGTGGGGCTTCATCGTCATCTCAGTCGCCTCCATGCTACTCGCGCTCGCCCTCCCCGTCTACATCTTCCGTTCCGCCCACCCGCAAGCGGACCCACGACCCCAGCCACGAGCCCACGTGCAAGCCCAACCGCTGGCCCTGCCTCCCGGGGAGTCCTTCCTCTCTTCTCCTCCCCACACTCCTCCCCATGATAGCCCTTGTCCGCCTTGTGCTGCGGATGGTCCGGATTCTGCTGCCAGTGGCTCGGCTGGTGCTGCTGATGGGATGTCTCACATGGAAGATCTGCAGTTTGAGGATGACAAGGACCAATCGTCGCTCGCCAGGTGTGCCGAGACTTGCTTCTGTGTTTCTTCCTTTGTTTCTATGCTCCTTCCCTTGTTTGTATGTCCATTTCCTTGTTCCTGAGCTCTTTCCTGGGTTTCTGTGCTATTTTTTTTCTTGCTGTGCTCTTTCTTTCCATCTGTGCTCTTTTCCTTGATTCTGTGTTCTTGTCTTTCTTTCTTTCTTTCTGCGCTCTTTCTTTTCACCCGGTGCTCATTTTCTTGTTTGCATAGTTCCACTCCTATCCTATCCTCTGTCCTGTTGCCACCATCTCAATTCCCAGGGACAATGCACCTGACCTCTCTCCTCTAACATCCACATCCGTATCCTCTTCAGGGGTTGACTCTCTTCCGTACACATCATTGTCCTCCTTCACAAGGCTCAATTAATTGGCTTGCCCATTGCTAACTATGGAAGGATTATTGACTCACTAAAGGGGGGACTGACAATGTGGGTGGGTCATTACTCTGAAGAATGAAAAGAAGCATGATTATATTCTATTTAATTTACACAAGATGGGGTATCCAGTCCTCTTGACAGCTGCCTTTTGGGCGGGTGATGCTTTCCAATTGAAATTCGTATGCTATTGAATAACAACTGAAACTGAATTGTATGTTCCATGTTATGAACAGTGATGCTCCCGACAACTGCAAACGGAACAGGTGAAAGTCGCACAGCTCATGTCTCCTTCGTTGAAGCTCACCACCTGACGCATGCAAACAAGACCACCGCCGTGGATTGCGCGTGGACTGACACCACCGCTCTCCCACCAAGCTCTCTCATAATCAGCATCTACGCTTTCTGCCGTTCGATTCCTTCGTCTAGTAGCCACTTTTCGTTTCCGGTGACGCGAACAGCTATTACCGTTTTTGTTCCTTTCGATTCCATATCAGCAGAATTCAGCACAGTCGTCTTGAAGCTTTGCGAAGTTAGGTGACTCGATCCTTCCGTGCTTTCCCGTCCTGTGTTGGCGCCATCTTGACGACGCTGCTGGTTTTTTTTAACTTCAAAAAATTGTTGTACCTAATCGTCCCTTCCAATCTCTCGCGGTTGATCAATCCTTAGCGATGTCGTCAGCAGCAGAGACTCCCGCAGATGTCCAGCCGCCTCGCAACCTGTCCGCTAAGCCAGAATTGGGACCCTTGTCGTCGAAAATACTGCCTCACCTATTCAAATTGTGAGCTAGTGACAGCCAGCCTCATCTCCTTTTCCGTACTTTTTCTGAAAATGGACCATTACTTGCTCTCGTGCACGTTGGCAGGTATGGCTGCACCGCAAGAGATGAGGACTTTGAAATTTACTCTCCGGACGCAAAGTTCGACGATCCCTTAATGTCAGCTAATGGGTATGTCGTTTTTTGCACTGCAGGCTCACCGCCCTCGTTTTGTGAGTGAATTGCTGAAACGAGCAGTTGTATGTCTCTATTCTGCCTTTATCCTACACTTTTAGGTTGAATCAGATCAAGTCAGCCTTTTACTCCATGCAAGTGGTAGGTCAGCTCGCCCACTTCATTCTTCTTTTGTGTTCTGGCACCAAGTTCAGCTGAGTTGTCATTGTTTGACATCATTATTCGTGTGTTTTTTCAGTTTTTTCAAGAGGGGAGAATAGTGGAGTACACTTTAGATGAGACATCAACAGGAGATGGCTCAGGAATGGCAAGTTGATACAGGGTGTCATGTTGTGAGATTGGGATTCAAGCAAATAAGTGTGTTCAGTTCGTTGAGTGAATGATCATTGGTTGGCTGTTTTGTAAATGGCAGGTGGTCATGGACAATAAGCAGAATTACAAGGTCTGGGGCAGGCCTTTTGATGTCGACTCGAGAATCCAACTCAAGGTATCAAAAGCACGATCCCTCTTCATGCTAGTTTTGAAGGTCCTGTATGGCTGGCAGTGTAGGCTCAATCATGTGACTTTATTTTCCATGTATGCAGGTTGAAGGAGGGAAGGTGGTTCACCACGAAGATTTGTGAGCCCTTCGCAAATTCCTACTTTTTCTCATGTGGTTTGATATTTTGGGCATGGGAAGTATATCTTGCTTTGTGCTTATTACGTATGTTGCACATCTCATGTGCAGGTGGAATAAGAAGCCTTTATGGTCAGATCCTTCCAAAGGCTTCATTGGATGGTTGGGCTATTCTTGGAGACGAAGTGCGATGATTACAACAGATGTGCTTATGGGTAGGGGAAAGGATCCAAAAGGGAGGTCATGATCAGGTACCAGTAGCAGGTTTTGTTGCTGCACTCATTTGAGCGGTAGATGAGCATTAACCAAATGTCTTCTTCCCACAATTTCTTAAGGAAAGGCCTGCAAATCTCACTACTTCAATCACATGATATCAGGATTCAGGATTGCTATGTACAATTAGCAACAACATACAGGATATTTAGAATAGCTACTATCACAGAATATCAGAACGGCTACCACAGCACAATTATCATCAACATACAGGATATTCGAATGGCTACAGCAGCAGAATTATCTAGTCAACAAGCTTGCGCCCTATAGATTATTACACTTGTGCCGTATCTGAATTGCACATCTACCATCACACTAGTAATGCAGGTGCAATCTCTTATGAAGACTGGACCAGAAGCACACCATAGGAAGGGGGAAAGATGCACCCTATTCATCTTACAATGACCATAAGGGCCAGGTAAAATGTGATCTTACATCAGCAAGAACTACCATCAACACGGGCTGCTCATACAGACGGGGCAGAGGACGATGGAGGGGCACATGAACCGCCTGCTGGTTGCTGTGGATAACCACCAGGTGGGGGAGGTGGATAACCCCCTGGCGGGGGAGGAGGGTAGCCCCCTGGAGGGGGAGGGGGGTAACCCCCTGGAGGGGGAGGTGGGTACACATAACCACCAGGTGGCACTCCTGTAACAGGGTAGCCTGGCACTGATTCTGGTCCGCCTCCTGACTGCTGATATTGCTGCCCTTGCTGCGATGCCCAGACGGCCATTTCCTGCTCCCGTTGCATGCGGCGTTTTCGCATGGAGTAGTAAACGCACGCACCGATGCCAAAGGAAAACAGAAGGATGACGAGGGTGACTATAAGGGAACCCCACCACGTCCACCGCCACCCACAGCCGTAGTAGCAGCCGCTATAAGCTGCAAATGAGATGGAGAGGGATACGAAGGGAAGGCAAGAAAAGGGACGGGATGGGAACACGGGAACAGTTGAGCAAAACGATGGCGAGTATCGGTAGAAGGAGTAAACCACACTACACTATGGCGTAGAAAAAAGGAGATGGAAAAAACAAAAAAGAAGGATTCCTGTCTGGCAAACTGAAAATGCCTTATAAAGACGTCAAAGTGAGAAAAAATGGAGAGGCAGCAGCAATTGGAAAATGCTATGGCGTCTCACGCTTGCGGAATATCAGACCGAACAGATGCAATGTAACCTGAAATGGCATGATTATGATCTGCAAGGGAAAGGGCCTGTCCGCATATCCTGAAATTCGAAGTGAGGGGACTTTGAGTGGACTCAAAAGGGCATCTGCGCTTATCCTGAAATTCGAGGTGAGGGAGCACCTGAATAGTAGGTTGTGCAGCCTGAAGGAGTCGTAACAATGCAATCCTGAAAATAAATCAATGATATATAAGAGAAGAGAGAAAAGAGGCACAAGGACAACGATCAACAAAAACGGATATAAGAGGCAGGTGAAGGGCAAAGTGAACTCGAAACGGCAAGACCTAGACGTAAAAGTTGAAATTCTGCACTGTAAGACGAATACGCTGGTCATCAGTTCGCAGGGTAAAGCTAGCGACCCCAGAGATTTCGCACGTCTGATTGCTGGTTGTATATGAAGCTATTCCAATAAGTAGTATAACATACAGTGCTCTTCTTCGACGGTTCATCCCATACCTGGCAAGCGTTGTAGCAAGCGGAGCCATAGCCGGCGCACTCGTATTGACAGTTGCTGCTGCCGCCAGCTACCAACGGAATGAAAGCCGCTAAGCACAAGATGGACAGCTGTGTGAACGAAACTTGGATCGCCGGCAATAACATTTTGTCAAAACTAATACTGACTAAGAAAAAGGTCACAAATCCACTCCCTACATGCACGCACCAACCGTTTATCCTGTTCTCAAGATAAGACGCTGCTTCTCAACGCCGAAACGCTGAATTAATCTCTTACTGTCGACACTCTCTAGCTCAGTTAGGTGTCAGTCGCTAATCACTAAACTTGATGCTTCCTCTTGCAGAAACACTGAAGATCATCCATGCCAACACTTCCTGCCTTGTGTGTCATTTTCTAGAAGTTGCATGGCTGTATGCATCGAACACTCAGCGGGCAAACAAACGGATCAGATGTGTTGGAAACAAACAGGGAAATTCCGCTGAAGTGATTACTTTATTTAAAAACCACCCTGAACAAACTGATCGGGTAGAAGAACGCAGCCAGCATTTGGTCCAACAAGGGAAACAGAGTAGCCAGGTTTGGGTTTGGACAGATACTTCCACGAATCACATGCGAGCACATAACTGGACTCACTTGTGGCCCAAACTGCTGATCGAAAAACCCCCATAAACCGAGGGTTTCGAAATGTGTCATCCTTTTAGTCGGCCCGATCAGTGAGGTCAGGTTGGCGTTTCCCAGTACGTTGGCGGGGGGCACCGCACGGCAGGGACGTGCCTACATCGACAGTGCGCGGAATTAATACAGTACACAGTACAGTAAGTGAACGCAAAAACTTCTTACGCAAACGAGGTTCTTGCCTAGGTTAGGGCTAGGTCAAAGGGCTATGGGGCAACGGGGCTCTGAAAGGAGGGCAGGTGTTACGAGTGCAATTGAGTGATCAAACTAGAATTGCACTATCGAAGCAAGAGTACAATGAGCAAAGGCATAAGCGAAGAATATATAACGAAACTACAGTGGTAGCGGTAATAAACTGTAGGTGACGTGCGAAGGTACCCGCCGAGCGCGGATTGTCAATGCAAGGGTTGCGAGTAGTAACGATGCGGACTGTGGTGCTACAGTGATGTGCGCGCTGAGTAGGAGCGCGAAGTAAGGAAAAAAAAAAATCCTTACACTACCTCCCCCCTTAAGGAGGCCCTCCTTGCGAAAGTGCGTGTACGTCCCAAAAATTTCGGCTGCGCAGATACTCGGTGAGAACAGGGTGGTTTTCGATTCTGTCCAGGGGAACCCAGTTGTCTTCAGTAGGTGTACGATCCAGGCCCTATGTTATCAGGATAAGTTATCCTGAATGTCATGAATTCAAGATAGGTGTTGTGGGTCTGTCTTGGGAAAACAGCATTTGGGAAATAATTGTCCTCTAGAATCAGCATAGTGGTTATTTAGCGTACTGACAATTCAGTATATTGGTGTAGGTTCAGCCCTGATGATTCAGGACAGTATTGAATTTCGCACTGACGCGGCATGTACAGCGAGAGAAAAATTCGTGCCAAGTACCCAACCACCGATGTCAGTGTCGATGAAGCAGAGAACGGCGGCCAGGAGCAAGCGGGAACCGAGCTGGCGACCTCCTATGTGTCAGGAGGACGCCTTAGTCACTAGACCATAATGTGCTGCGATGTTATTTGTCCTGGTACCACAACAGCACTGACAAATCAGGGTACCTTTCCCTGTGTTGCCCTGATGAATAAGGGCAAAAGATGCTTTTCGACTAAACAGCCCTGATGCATCAGGGTAGCCTAGATGAATCTGAGGGCCTGGTACGGTCTCTCTAGCGGATCAGGAATTCGATCCTTCGAGCTCCTCGTGGGTCACGAACTCGGTGGCTCAGATTTTTCTCGGGTGTGATGATTGGCTCGGTCAGCACTCGTGTCATGCTGGCTGGGCGGTTGTGGGGCAGTTGGCTGGTGGATGGTACGTAGGGGCGGAGCACGCTGACGTGGAAGGACGGGCTTACGTACCAGTCAGCAGGGAGGAGGAGATGGGCGGTGACTGGTGTGATCATGTTGCTGATGCGAATGGCCCACAATATCGGGGCGGAGTTTTGGGGTAATGGGCAGGCGGAGGTTCTGGGTGTCGAGTAAAACTAGGTCGTCGGGCTGGTAAGTGACAGGTCGGCGGTGGCGGTCGGCGTTGCGTTTAGCGATAATGTTTGATTTTTTTATCGCGTCTACTGCTCGGGTCTGTCAACGGGAGTTGTGTGTTGGCCCCGTCCTCGCTTGGGCAGAGCCGACTTCGTGGTCGGGTGTGAGGGGAGCAGCCGACCTGCAGCACTGGGCGAGCTGGTTGACGAGGAGGTCGACCTGCACGGGAGCCACTGCATGGGCGCCGACTTCAGGATGGCGCCGACTTCCGGGAGGTCGACCTGGGAAGTCGACCTGCGGAGGACGTCAACTTGGTGACGTCAACGTGGGGCAGCCGACTTGGGTGGTTGGGTGACAGGAGTACTGGTCAACCTTGTGGCTGGTCGACCAGACCTGCCGGTCGATTTGCTGGTGGTCGACCTGACCTGGTGGTCGACGGAGGAAGGGCCGACGTCGACCTCGACTCAGGACGCCGAGTAGTTGGGCGTCGAGTAGCAGGGCGTCAACTTGGTGACGCCGACTTCGGGCAGTTGACTTGGGTGATCGGCTAACAACTGCGCTGGTCGACGAGGAGCTGGTCGACCAGGAGTGACGTCGACCTGGAGCTGGTCAACCAGTGGTGTGGTCGACCTGGTGAGGTCGACTTGGAGGTGGTCGTCGACTTGGGAGGTCGACGGGCACGTACGGGAGCAGCTGGTCGACGGGGTTGCCCGGTCGACCAGGTTACCTGGGTGACGAGGTTCTGCGGAGGAGTGCGACGGTCGCCCAGGCGAAGTTGGCGAGTCCGACCTCGGTGGTGGTATCCCGAGGTCGACATGGCGGATCAGGTGAAGTCGCCAGCATGAAGATGACTTGGTGTGTGCGTTGTGCAGGTGACGAGGCTCAGCCCGCCAATCATCTGCGAGCACCTGCGAAGCGGGTGCGCTGCTGTTCTGTGTGAGCAACGTTGGCACGCCGTCAACCTGCGATGTTGGCACGCCGTCGACTTTGCATTGCTGGAGCGCGGTCGACCAAGTTGTGCTGGAACGCGGTCGACCGAGCTGCGCTGGCAGTCGACCAACCTGAATGCTAGCTCTGATGAAGTCCTGTCTTGCCAACTTCATTGTACCATTGTTGTCAACTTTCTCTAGTGAAACTTTTGCCAATTTGCCCCGTGAACTAGCAAGCAGTGTATGCACTAGGAAACCGACTAAGGACCAACAAACGCAGAGATCACACGAGCACCAGTGCCTAGCCTGTAGTCTAGCTCCTGTTGCAGTAGTTATCTCCACATGGTGTGGTGAGCGTGGACGGCACACGACTTACCTTTCAGTTAGGTTGACATAGAGGTCACATACCTAAGTTGCTCGTAGGCCGGCAGCCGTACAGGTCCCTAACGTGCGCGTAGGTGACGCCAAGGTGATGGACACCCTGGAGGGACGACTGGAGGATGCGAGGAGACGCCATGAGGCCCAGGAGTACGGGGTGATACCCTGGGCGGTTGTCGAGGTTGGACTCCGTACCATGTGGGCGACGGAGCACCCTCCTTCTCGATCGGCTTCTCCTCGACCGGTGACCAACGAAGGCGGCGTCGATGTGGGCGTCAACGCCGGAGGTGGCCAAGTCGGCAACAGTGCGGGAGGCACGTCGCGTGGTGTGATTTACGTTGATGAAGTCGGTGGCGTTCAAGCGTGAGGGGTGCGGTCGTCAATGGTTGCGGGGTCCTCGCATGGCGACGTCACATGTCGACAAAGCGGATTGTCGCCGATGTCGGCGACCCAGGTGACGGCAGGCGGGATTGCACCGAGCTACGGCTACTTCAAGTTTACGCCGGACAGGATCTTGGTCACCCCGCCGTCGTTGGTCGACCAGACATCCTCACCTGGAAGGAAGCTATCGA